CGGGCTATAAAACCCCGGTCAGAGGACGACCGTACGCTGGGAAACCAGACAGGTCCGCTCCCTCTGACCGCGACTGATTCCGGCCTAGCGGACGGAGAGTCCAGCGCCGACCTAGAGCGAGACAGAGGGAGAAGGGCCGGAAAGGAGCCGGCCACAGAAGACGACGAGCTCGACCCCAGAACCCAGTACGAAGAGAAAAGGGACACCAAGAGGGCCAAGCGAATGGATGAAGTCGAAATCATATTCATTGATGAAGAGACGTGCCAAAAACAGCTCCGAATCGGGAGCAAGCTACCGGAGCCCTTAAAAGTCGAACTGACACACTTCTTCCGACAGAACGTGGACATTTTTGTGTGGACACATGAGGACATGGTCGGCATTGACTCACGGGTCGCCTGCCACATGATGCAGGTTGACTCAACGGTTAGGCCGTTCGTTCAAAAACGAAGGAAGTTGGGCCCAGAGCGGCAGCAAGCCCTGGAGGAGGAGGTGATCAAGCTCAAGGACAACGAATACATCTGCGAAGTACGGTATCCGACTTGGTTCGCCAACCCAGTACTTGTGAATAAGGCTAACGGGGCATGGCGCCTTTGTATCGATTTCTCCGACCTCAACAAGGCATGCCCTAAGGACATCTACCCTCTGCCCCACATCGACTACATGGTCGACGCCACCTCAGGACACGAGCTGATGAGCTTCATGGACGCGTACTCCGGCTACAATCAAATTCCAATGCATCCGAACGACGAGGAGTATACCTCGTTCTATTCGGCACGCGGACTCTATTGCTACACCATGATGCCGTTCGGACTGAAGAATGCCGGGGCCACCTATCAACGTTTAGTCAATAAGATGTTTGCTAGTTTGATAGGTGTAAGCATGGAGGTGTATGTAGATGATATGTTAGTTAAGTCCGTGTACGCATCTAACCATGTCAGCGACCTTAATAATATGTTTTCAATTTTGCGGGATTACTCCATGAAGTTAAGTCCCAAAAAATGTACTTTCGGGGTTGGTTCGGGAAAATTCGTAGGCTACATAGAGCGGTCCAAGATCTTCGACCCCCAACCTCTATCAAGGGAATCCAAAGTCTAACCGGCAAGTTAGCCGCCCTGAGTCGATTCATTTCAAAATCAACAGATTGGTGTAAACCGTTCTTCGACACCATCAAGAAAAACCACAAGTTTGAATGGACTCCCGAATGCCAACGAGCGTTAGAAGCCATCAAAGAAACTCTGTGCCAGACTCCAATGCAAAAACCCCGACCTGGGGAGATGCTCTTCCTGTACTTGGGAGTCTCCGACGTGGCAGTAAGTGCCGCCTTGATCCGGGAAGACGAATCCTATCAACACCCAGTCTACTACATAAGCAAGGCACTCCATGATGCCAAGCTACGATACCCTCCAATGGAGAAGCTGGCGTTCGCCTTAGTAACTGCAGCCTAGAAGTTGAGGCCGTACTTCCTCGAATACTCAATAACCGTCCTCACCGCCTACCCGTTAAAATAGATTCTACACCGGCCAGACACTTCAGGCCGGATGGTCAAGTGGGCGGTAGAACTAGGGCACTACGACATCCATTACCGACCCCGAACAGTAATGAAGGGGCAGGTACTCTCAGACATCATAGCCAAATTCACGTCGGGACTCGAAGAAACAACAGATGAGCAACTGTGGGTGATGAACTTAGACGGATCCTCCATTGCCGGACGAGCAGGCGGAGGGGTCATCCTCGTGGATCCCCACAAGAAGCTCTTCTGTCATTCCATCCAGTATCTCTTCCCAGCAACTAACAACGAAGCCGAATATGAGTCATTGCTATTCGGGCTCGCCCTAGCAGAAGCCATGAGCCTAACCGACCTCATCATATACTAAGACTCCATGCTGATGGTCAAACAAATATTCGGGGAGTTTGAAGTGAAAGAACCAAGACTGGTCCCCTACCTGGGACTGGTAAAAAAGAAATTATCCAAACTCCGCACTCGAATAGAACATGTCCCCCGGACTGAAAATGTGCAAGCCGACGCCCTAGCCTGTCTCGCGTCAAGTGCTGGGGTGGAAAGTGTCGAATATGTCCATGTCGGCCATAAAGAACAACCGTCTCGGCTCAGCACTTCCGTTCTAAGTGTCGGGCAGACCGCTACAGACGAAGGTCTGAGCTGAACGGAACTGATCAGGTCATATCTCGAGATCGACACGTTGTCGCCTGACCCAAAAGAGGCCAGGTAACTTCGCGTACGGGCAGCTCGATTTACGATTGTGGCCGGTGAACTGTTTAAGCGAGGATACTCGGTTCCCTTACTCAAGTGCATAGACGAGAAGAGTGTCGAATACATTCTCAAAGAAATCCACGAAGGCGTATGCGGGAACCACTCTGGAGAATACGCTCTCGCCCACAAAGTTCTAAGGCAGGGCTATTACTGGTCGAGCTTGAAGAAAGACGCCTTAGACATGGCTCGGAAATGCACAAAGTGCCAAACTTTCGCGCCCAACATCGTACAACCTTCCCAACTTCTGAAATCGATCTTCAGCCCGTGGCCATTCGCCAAATAGGATGTCGACCTGATCGGCCCCCTATCCACCGGAAAGGGCAGAGTGAAGTATGTCGTCATTGCCATCGACTACTTCACGAAATGGGCAAAATCCGAGCCACTCGCCCCATCACCGAGCAGAAGATGATCGACTTCCTTTGGATGTCTATCATATGCCGATTCGGAGTGCCGAACTGGATAATCACCGACAACGGCAAACAATTCGAAGGGAAGAAGATGGAAACATTTTGCAAAGAAAATAACATCAAACACTTCTTCTCGACACCCTACCATCCTCAGTCAAACGTCCAGGTTGAAGCCGTGAACAAAATCATCAAACAAGGCCTCAAAGTCCGACTTGAGGCGGCAAAACGAACCTGGCCGAAAGAACTCCCAAGCGTGCTCTGAGCATACCGCACGACATCCTGGTCATCAACTAGAGAAACACCGTTCTCCCTAGCATATGGGTCCGAGGTGAGGATACTCGTCGAGCTCGGTGCCCCGACGTTTCGAGTAACCAACTTCGAAGAAGAATCCAATTCAGAATCGTTGAGAGCGAACCTCGATCTGATCGACGAGCACCGAACACAAGTCGAGCTCAGAAACGTGGCATACAAGAGATGGAGTGAGAGATATGTCAACTCCCAAGTCAAAGCCCGCTCCTACCAGATCGGCGACCTGGTCTTTAAAATAGTGACGGAGCCCGATCCCGGACCCCTCAAACCAAAGTGGGAAGGGCCCTACAAAATCAGCGAGGTCCTCCCGCATGGGGCCCACCGTCTCAAACACTTAGACGGCACCCCCCACCAATACCCCTGGGACTCGGCATTTCTGAAAAATTCTATCAATAAGTCCAGGTCTAAGGCTCCGATTTTCCTTTGTAATAATTTATTTTCTGAATTGATGAATTTTGTAAAAAGGCATGTAATTTTCTTGTTTTTAGTATATAGAAAGTTTAGGCTTAGATCGAGTCAAAACGGCGTAATTATTGTAATAAGCAGAGATGCAGGTCGGGCTAAGTATGATGATCCGATCAGAAATAGTCGGGCTCAACTAGGTAGCCTGATCAGGCTAATAATACAACCTAGTCCGAACGCGTGACTGGTCAGGTAAGCTGCCACGTAATTATGTGAAGGTCGGGTCAAAATGATGACTCGGTCGGCACAAGCTGGGCTCGATAAAGTAGCACGGTCAGGCTACAGCTGCGAAACGTAATAAATGAAGATCGAGCTCAAGTGCGTAGCTCGACCAGGCCAAACCGTCATCCGACTCAACAGGTAGATCAGAAAGGTAACGCGCCAACATAATTAACAAGCTAATGCAAGTGTAAGCGTCCGGGTCCGGTTTGGAGTAGATCGATTCTTGTCCTTGCCGGTAGAACGCCAAGAACCTGTAAATAACTCTCACACCAGGGGTTGGATCCGGTGAAGAGCCTCCGATTCCTAAGTCAGTATGTGTATGAGTATACTGGAATTTAGAGAATGAATAGAACGTGTTAAGGAAGAAAGGCTCATCCCCTTTTTATAGGGGTGAGATACCTGCCCTAATAGCTGCCCGGATAAGGCTACGTGGGCTGCCCAAGCTGCCCGTCCGTACTCTGACACGCCGCGTACATGTCAGAGGTGCCGCGGGACGTTGGGCGCTGTCAGAGGTGGTTATCGCTATCACCCAATACATTGTCCACACGTGTCCACCCGGCACATGGGGTAAATATTCTCCTGAATCTCAGTCAGAGATCCTCACGCGCGTCTGCTATGCACGCGTCTGGGTTTATGTCGGTCAGCTTGCTCGATCCCTCAGCTTGCTCGATCACTCATCTGATCGATTGATTGGTAGCTCGATAAGTCTTGATCGAGCATCGGGCTGCTCGATCGCTTGTGTAGTCGAGCCTTAGACTGCTCGATCGCCTGCGTGGTCGAGCCCTAGGCTGCTCGATCGCTTGTATTCCCGCCTTTTGGTTTAGTTTGCTCCCGGTCTGCTCTTCTCGACCGGCTCACCAGATCGGTTCATCTGTATACAGATAATATCCTATATCAGTTTTTATTAGTATTATTATTTTTAATTGTCTTATTGCTCTTTATAAATAAATTAAAAATGCGTGTACTATATATATATATACTTATTCGGTTTTATTTTAATGATCGTGCTATAACCGAGCCTCGTGTATTATCGTATTTATTAAACCAAAAGGCCGGCCCGTGTCATTTAAACCG